TGTGGGATCTGAGTGCTGAACAGTCATGACTAAGTATCCGTTGGTGGGCCAACGCTTGTGAGGAGATGGTACCAACCGATGATGCCTTTGGGAACCGGCTCTGTTGGGAGTCCATGGAGTCTGGCCACTGGTTGAGGATGCCAAGCGGTGATGCCAAAGCGGCACCCGCATTTTAGACTTTATAGAATTCCCATGTGCCAGAGCACAAAACCAGTGTTTTCCATACAGAAGAACTCGAGCCTGCCTGATCTGAAACTCCCTGCCCACCAGTGTGCACGGGCGCCATCTGAGCATGGAGGAGCATTTGGACCTGCTCTAAAGAAGAATGGTTGATATAAGTTCCCTGCCCTAGTGAGAACTAGGTCATCACCTGTGTGCTGTGGTGCATTCCGTGCTCGGTCCCACACTCCACACACCATTAGGCACCTCTTCCACTTACTTGGTCCAGCCTTCCCCATCTTGGGTGACCTCCAAAAAATATTTGACTATAGCTCCCATCATTTTCTTTGTGGCCTCTTCCTCTGTACCACGTGTGGGGATCCTACAGCCCGGGGGCCAAATCTGGCCCCTGGACTTTCCTAAGTGGCCACAACCACATTCCATCATTTTGGGTTTCTTATGTATTATTCCACCATCACCCCTTCTAAAAGGTTGAAATGCTTCTCCCAAGTCATAGATGCTGGTAAAAGTTCAGTGTTAAAATATCCCAGTATTTTTGGGCTCCTTCTTTTACATTTGGCCCCACCCCCATTGAGAAGGACTCTTGAAATCGGATTTGGGCCTCAGGCCAAAAGATGTTTTCTCCTCTTTCTCTGTGAATTGACCATGTCCCTTGTTCTTCTGAAGTCCCGTCATGGACCAGAGTTGAGCCTGGCTTCTGATTGATTTCATCCCATGGTTAGGTGCCTTTGAGTCTGGAAGACGGGGGACTTAGGAAGGCTGAGTTAGTTCAGTTCAGAGAGAGAAAGCATAGCTGAGGGCCTGAAGCTTCTTCAGGGGTCAAAATCAGAGAAAGTTACGGCTTTGGATGCTTGCTGGCCATGAGATTCTGGGTGCGGTACTTCAAATATGTAACTTTTCCAAGCTGTGCTTCAGATTCTGGTTTCCAAATGGACTCTTCCTGTTTACCTCTTTAAGTTCCACCCCCATGAAAACCAGGCTTAAGTCTATACAAACGCGTCTCCACCAATCACTCGTTGACAAATCGCTCATCAAATCATTTGGAATTCACTACTACACCATCTCATTTTATTTTGTCACCTTCTCTTTTGTTGGTAAATTGCACTATAAGCCTTTTGTCAGCAGGGAAGTACTACCCCTCTTGCTATGAAATTTTGGAAAGCTTCGTACCCATTGATTATGCCATATACAGTGGTGCCTTGCAAGACGATTGCCTCGCAAGACGATGAATCCGCAAGACAATTAGCTTTTGTGATCGCTGTTGCGCTTTGCAAGACAATGTTTTCTATGGACGATTTTCACAAGATGACAATTTTTCCCATTGGAACAAATGAAGTAGATTTTGATGCATTCCAATGGGGAAACCGCGTTTCGCAGGATGATGTTTTTTATGGATGATTTTCGCAAAACAACGATTTTCCCATTGGAGCGCATTAAGTAGATTTCAGTGCATTCCAATGGGGAACCGCGTTTCACAAGGCGATGTTTTCACAAGATGATGTTTTTTGTGGAATGAATTAACATCGTCTTGTGAGGCACCACTGTAAATAATAATCCATATATATTTATTTATTTTTATTTATTTATTTATTTGATTTATACCCCGTTGTTCCTTTTATCTCTTGACTCCCTACTTTATTTATTGATTGATTGATTGATTTGATTGATTTGATTTATTTGATTTATACCCCACCCATCTGGTCTAAAAGACCACTCTTTTCTCTGAAGGAATGCATTTTTTGGTAGGAATGGCACCAGGATTCAGTAATTTTGGCGAAATTATTTTCACAGCTCCTACTCATACTTTTTACAGAGTGGAATTGCTTCTTAATTGGGTTCAATAATAGCAATTTATTGAACTACGAGGTTTATGGGTGCAGACATCAAGTCCATATGAACAGAATTGAAGCTGGATCACCCAGATAGGGCCAGATCAAGGCAAACCCACTGGTGGAAATGTGACTCATTTGGACTATGGTTCTCAGAATCCACGAGGGACATGATGGTGCTGTGGTTTAAACTGCAGAAGCCTCTGTACTGCAAGGTCAGAAGACCTGCAAGTCGTAAGATTGAATCCATGCGACAGAGTGAGCTCCCGTCGCTTGTCCCAGCTTCCGCCAACCTAGCGGTTCGAAAGCATGCAAAATACAAAATGCGAGTAGATAAATAGGTACCACCACGGTGGGAAGGTCACGGCATTCCGTGTCCAGTCGCATTGGTCACGTGACCATGGAAGATTATCTTTGGACAAACGCTGGCTCTATGGCTTGGAAACGGGGATGAGCACTGCGCCCTAAAGTCGGACACAACTGGACAAATTGCCAAGGGGAACCTTTACCTTTTACCTTTCAGAATTCTTAGCCAGCATGGCTACTGTGGGATTCTGGGAGCTGTAGTCCACAACATTTTAAAAAGATTTCCTATCTGTGTTAGGAGAATGAAATAATATTTAATTCTGGACTTAGTTAAGTTACTGAGAAGGCCCCCTTATTTTCAGTTTGTCCCTTTGGAAGGATGGAAGGTTGAGTGAACCTTGAGACGGAGACCTGAACCCTTTGAGATTGATTGAACTTGGGTTGTGAACAGAGAGTCCTGACTGCAGTACTGCAGTTTAACGACTGCGCCACGGGTCTCTTGCTAAGAGATCTTAGATCTGGAAATCTCAGGACCTTGGCAGGCTCATAGGGGAGAATCTCATCCTTAGGATAACCTGGACCCATGCTTCGAGAATATTGCCCATGCCAGCAATTTAGAATTTGTAGGAGAAAGTGAACAGATCTTAGGCAGGTGGAACTGGCCTTGAATGACAGTATCTGGCAAGTAAAAGCATTGCCTTGTTTTATTTCACTAGACAAGGTCTTGCTGAATTAATGAATTTCCTGGCATTCTGAAGAGCAGCACCTTCTCGAAAGCAGTGCAGTGAAACCTGGGAAGATACAAAGCAAAATATAGATAAAAGCTTTCTACAACAGGGTGGTTGATGGATAGATATAATTATAAGATTCAGCAGGAAAACTGATTACTCTGACCAGAGGTTAATAAGCTTATTTAAAACACATTTCTTTCAGCAATTTACATCAAGAGTACCTTTTTGCTGAACTGCTTCAATGATCTTGTTGTTTCAAAAAAGCAACGTGTTTGTATAATTGAGGACCGGAAAGAGAATTATAGCATGTCCTTTCATTGCCTTGACGTAGCTGGCATCCCAGGGACATATAGTTAGTTGCTTAGTGAACAGCTGCAACGATAACAAATACCCGCATTGTAAAATGAGGTTAGGTTCCTGGCCTGAAATGGTTAGAGGAGGCTCCTCTTTGGTCCTTTTGAATCTCCACGGAGCTGTTATTCTGCGGAAGTGCAGGAAAAAATGCAGGATATAGCTTGGGGCTCTATAGAGCTTGAAAATAGCATGTTAAGTGTTGTTGCATTAACGATGGAAGGGTTAATGTTTGTGTTAAACCGGAAAACAAGCAGATGGGTGCATCTGATCTTCTAAAAATCGATTCTACTGAAGGGCTCAAAATGCGCTCAGGCTTGCAAGAGAAGTTAAAAATAGCAACCTTATGCCTGGAACAAGACAGAAAAAAAACAAAGAGAAAAAGCAGAACACCCCCCCAAAAAAACCTAGTCCACTGCTTGGAAAGGGTGGGGAAACCCTAGTGGGTAGCAGAGAGAAGGTGAAACCTAATGAACATCTACTTTGCTTCTGTCTTGCCTGACAAGGAAGACATTGTTTGACCTTAGTTCAGTTCAAATAAAGGAGGCAGTGAAGGACTAGCTACCTAAGATAAATAAAAAGGAAGTAAGGGAGCATCTAACTAGCTGGAAAGCCCTGTCAGTGGTTTAGGTATCTGGCTGCAGAGCCAGAAATTGGGAGGTCTCCGAAGAGGTGAACAAATTTCCCCATCTTCTAAAAGGGGGAAGAAGAGAATATGGATAACTGTTGACCAGTCAACTTGACATTGACAGTAAGGAAGGTTCTAAAACAGGTAATTAAACATAATTTTCTCAAATAAAAGTAATTGTCAGCCTGTTTTTCCCTGTTTTGTTCAGTTCTGGGCAGGACAGATTAAGAACGAGATTGTCAAGTCCAAACTTGTCCAGAAGACACTGACCAAGATGACAAAAATCTCTGTGGAACTCCTTGCCACAGGATGTGGTACGGCATCTGGCATCTAGATGCCTTTCAAAGGGGATTGGACAGATTCCTGGAGGAAAAGTCCATCACAGGTGACAAGCCATGATAGGGAGGTATAATCCTCCACCCTTAGAAGGAAAGTACTTAAAAATGCCAGATGCAGGGGAAGGGGATCAGGAGACAGGTATCTAGTTGTCTCGTGTGCTCCCAGTGGCATCCGGTGGGGCTACTGTTGAGATACAGGAAACGACTAGATGGGCCCTTGGCCTGATCCAGCACAGGGCAAGTCATGTGAAGTGTCTGAGAGACCTGGATTATGTTTAGCCTGGAAAGAAAAGGTTGAGGTGATAGAATAGCCATCTTTAAATATTTGAAGGGAGGGCTGTTGTGTGTAAGTCAGGTTTGTTTTCTGTGGCTTCAGAAGGTAGAACCCGAAACAATGGATTCAAGTTACAGTGGACCTTCGACTTGCGCGCAACTCCGCTTGCGAACTTTTCGAGGTACGGACTCCTCCGGCTGCAAAACTTTTCCATTGACTTGTGGCCAGAGAATTGACCTACGGACCGGAAGGGGGAGGCGGGGAAAGCGCCTAATTCAAATTTGGTACTTTCCCCGCCTTCCCCTTCCGGTCTGTAGGCCGCCTATCGTGCCTTTGGATGCCTTCCAGGGCTTCTTCGCCGCCATGGGAAGCATCTTGGAGGTACCCCGAGGCTCGGTCCATCCTGGGAAAGCCTCCGTTGGTGGGGGCGGGGGAACCCCGTGAGGCCTCTGGTAGCTGCGGGAAAGCCCTTGGAGGCTTCGGGCAGCTGGGAAAGCCTGCGTTGGTGGGGGCGGGGGACCCCCGTGAGGCCTCTGGTAGCTACGGGAAAGCCCTTGGAGGCTTCAGGCAGCAGCGATGGCAGCGGCGGGGGACCCCTGGAAGGCTTTGTGTTTATTTTCATTTTTTTGGTGTGGGGGGTTATTTTTTTTTCTTCAGCCGGTTACAGATTAATGGGTTTTCAATGCATTCCTATGGGAAATGCATTTTCGACCTGCGGACTTTTCGACCTGCAGCCACCGTTCCAATACGGATTAAGTCCGTAAGTCGAGGGTCCACTGTACAGGAAAGGAGATACTGACTAAACATTATGAAGAGACATGAAGAATCATAACAATTATTAAAAAATATTAAAAACAAATCATATAACATGGGGGTGGGGAAATTCTGGGGCTTTAGGACCAGTTGCCTCTCTCAGATCTTCTGTGGGCCTTATCCTTCCAGGCTGAAACTGAAAGCATTTACAAAATTTGCCCACCTCCCTTTTTTTTTCTGGCAAGTTGCTTTTAATTTCTTTCTGTGTGGATGAATATGTTGCCTGTCCTGATGAGGCCAAGAGGGAAGAAGAGGGATGTTCCCTGTTGTCCCAGATCCACAATACTAGCTACTGACAGAGTTATACATAACAGATGTATATTCTACTCCTGTGAGGTACTACTTAGTCCCCCTCTATTTAGTGCTGGTTATGCCTCACCTTGAGGCTTGTGTCCAGTTCTGGACACCACACTTCAAGAAGGATGCTGAAAAACGGGAACAAGTTCAGAGGAGGGTAGCAAGAAGGACCAGGGGGCTGGAAACCAAGCCTTATGAGGAAAGGCTGAAAGAATTGGGCATGTTTAGCCTTGAGAAAAGAAGATTGAGGGGTGATACGATAGCACTTTCCCAATACTTGAAAGGTTGTTCCTACAGAGGAGGGGGCAGGATCTGAGTGCCAGACCTGTAATAATGGATTCAAGCTACAGGAAGCCAGATTTAAGCTGAATATCAGGGAAAAAGAATCTTAACTATTAGAACAGTACGACAATGGAACGAATAATCTCAGAAGGTGGTAAGTGCGGAGAAAATTGGACGACCATCTGTCAGATCTGGATTCCTGCATTAAGCATTGAGCTGGACCCGATGACGTTATAGCCTGTTTCCAACACAGTTTTTCTATGATTCTTGTCCAGAATTCCTGCAGGGGCAAACCAGATTGTTAGGAGCAGAGAAAAGGGGAGACAGAGCAAGGGAGTTTGCTGTGTTCCCCCTTTTGCACATCAACATCTGTTGTTTGAGAAGACCGCCTTACCACCTCATGGTATGGTTTGACTCTCATCCAGAAGTAATGCAATTTTTTTTAAAAAAATAGACATGCTACTAGGGCATGCATAGAGAAGCAGAAGAGCATGTGTTCTAAAACAGCTGTATGCCATGTTTAACACTCCACGTACATGATGCATGCACTCTTTTACCCTTGTATAAAAGTCACTATGTGTGCCAGAGGATGGGGGCAGGCGGGGACACATTGCTTCGGTTGAACCAGATTGGGAACAGCTAGGAAACATGTCTTACCCTCAAAGCGAGCTAAAATGTCTGGAGCCTTGGCTGCTGGAATTCAGGAGCTGCTCCCGAGTTCCTCCTCATGCCTTAGGATGGTTTTCTCTTTTTGTTCCTGTTGCAGAACTGCTTAAGAAGGCGAGATGCTGGCTTGTTAAACCAGCTGCAGGAACTGGACAAGCAGATCAGTGATCTGAGGTTGGATGTTGAAAAAACAGCAGACGAACACCTGGAGACAGACAGTCGTCCCAGCTCAGGTAGGTGTTCCCTTGGAAGCCGTACGAGACATTGTGAAGGCGACATTGAAACTTGGGACAGTGTCTGCGCACCTACTCCTGAATCCTGCAGCCTGTGTGCATTGTGCATAATGCCTATTCAGAGAGCTGTGCATAGAGGAGGCTGGAGGTGGGATTTCCAGATTTTCTGAACTCCAAATATGTAATTCTTCATCCAGGAGGTCCACTTACCTCATACGCACCAACCAGTGTGAACTGTTAACAGTATCCTGAACGCTGGTTAGGTTCTTCCATCCTGTCAATATCTCCTGTCTTTTCACAAACTGTGGAATTTGCTTTCCTTGAATACTTCATTTGTAGTTAGCTTTTAATAGAGTACCGTCTCATCCTCTGCCGTCCCCTTCTCCTCTTGCCTTCACAATTTCTCAACATCAGGGTCTTTTCCAGGGACTCTTCTCTTCTCATGAGATGCCCAAAGTACTGGAGCCTCAGCTTCAGGATCTGTCCTTTCAGTAAGCACTGAGTGCTGATTTCCTTCAGAATGGATAGGTTTGATTTCTTTGCAGTCCTGGGGACTCTCAAGAGTCTCTTCCAGCAGTTGATACATGACAATAATTTGATAGTTCAGGGCATATTTAGTGGCTGGCATGCAATTCTATTTCATATTTGTCAGTTTGATTGTTCGTGTTTTGATGCTTTTCAAAATAAAAAATAAAAATTAAAGCAGTGTCAATAAAGCTCCAGTACTACAATTTGGTGAAACAAAGACCCTTGGGAGGAGCGTGAATGCTGACTGGACAAATTGTAGATATTCCCCAATATTGATTTTAGCTATGCTCTGACTTTGGTAATGTATCCTATCAAGATGAAGGACAGTAGCTTATTCTCATTATCAAGCAATGGTATCATAGTTAATAATAGCAGACTTGGGTTTTGAGATATATTCTAGCTGAAACAGGGTTCCTTGGAAAGTAGAGGAATGATGTCACAGAGCCTTGAGGTTTGCTAAAGTTGGAGGAGAAGGTTTGGAACAGAGTGTCCTGCAGAAGGGTATGGCATGCAAAATTCTCCACGCTACAGTATTCTGTTGTAGTGCAAAGTATTTGCATTGTCTGTTTGCATTATTTGCCATTTAATCTAGAGTCATAGAATCGCATTGGAAGGAGCCTATAAGGCCATTGAGTCCAACCCCCTTGCTCAATGCAGAAAGTCCAAGTCAAAGCAGATCTGAAAGAGGTTTATCCAGTTTTCTCTCTCTTCCAGTGATCAGGGGCTTTTCCAGGGAGTCTTCTCTTCTCATGAGATGGCCAAAGTACTGGAGCCTCAGCTTCAGGATCTGTCCTTTCAGTGAGCACTGAGGGCTGATTTCCTTCAGAATGGATAGGTCTGATTTCTTTGCAGTCCTGGGGACTCTCAAGAGTCTCCTCCAGCAGTTGATACATGACAGTAATTTGATAGTTAAGGGCATATTTAGTGCAATTCTATTTCATATTTGTCAGTTTGATTGTTCGTGTTTTGATGCTTTTCAAAATAAAAAATAAAAATTAAAGCAGTGTCAATAAATCTGCAGTACTACAATTTCCCAATTTTGAGATGTATATTTACATACAAGGTGAAACAAAGACCCTTGGGAGGAGCGTGAATGCTGACCGGACAAATTGTAGATATTCCCCAATATTGATTTTAGCTATGCTCTGACTTTGGTAATGTATCCTATCAAGATGAAGGACAGTAGCTTATTCTCATTATCAAGCAATGGTATGATAGTTAGTAATAGCAGACTTGGGTTTTGAGATATATTCTAGCTGAAACAGGGTTCCTTGGAAAGTAGAGGAATGATGTCACAGAGCCTTGA